GGGCAGAATAAAACGCATCAAAAAAACGCACTACATGCTTTGCTGCAGCGTCTCCATTGAAGTCTATAGAACCAAAAATGCAACATTGCCTTTAAAAAAGTCCCTGACCCTTTCCAAAAAAAAAACGCACCGGGTGAAAAACGCACAGATGTGAACGTGTCCCATAGGAAATCATTGTTAAATGGACCGCTGTGCGTTTCTGCAAGACGCAGTTGAAACGCCTAGGTGTGAACCTAGACTAATGCAGGCCATAGATGGGTCGAAAATCGGCCGATTTTTCGGCCGAAAATAAAATCGGCCGATTTTCGGATCGTTAGTGGGCGATTTGGTCGGCCGTTTTTCGGTATTTTGGCCGGTTTTTTTTTTTCCGGAAAAGTTGGAAAAAAATCGGCCGATTTTGCCGATCGGCCGATTTTCGCGGCAATTAGTGGGCGAATCGGCCGATTTTTTACCGATAAAAAAACTGCGCATGAGCAGTGACCTGCAAGAGGAAGACAAAAAGAAGAAAAAGAAGAAGAGGAAGAGGATGAAGAAGAGGATGAAGAAGAGGAAGAGGATGAGGATGAAGAAGAAGAGGATGAGGATGAAGAAGAAGAGGATGAGGATGATGAAGAAGAAGAGGATGAGGATGAAGAAGAAGAAGAAGAGGATGAAGAAGAAGAAGAGGATGAGGATGATGATGATGATGAAGAAGAGGATGAGGATGAAGAAGAGGATGAGGATGAAGAAGAGGATGAGGATGAAGAAGAAGAAGAAGAGGAGGAGGAGGAGGAGGATGATGATGAAGAAGAAGAAGAGGATGATGATGAAGAAGAGGATGAGGATGAGGAAGAAGAAAATGAGGATGAGGATGAAGAAGAAGAAGAGGATGAGGATGAAGAAGAAGAAGAGGAAGAAGAAGAGGATGAAGAAGAAGAGGATGAGGATGAAGAAGAAGAGGATGATGAAGAAGAAGAGGATGAGGATGAAGAAGAGGATGAGGATGAAAAAGAAGAAGAGGATGAGGATGAAGAAGAAGAGGATGAGGATGAAGAAGAAGAAGATGAGGATGAAGAAGAGGATGAGGATGAAGAAGAAGAAGAAGAGGATGAGGATGAAGAAGAAGAAGAAGAAGAGGATGAGGATGAAGAAGAAGAAGAAGAAGTAGGATGAAAATAAGAATAATTCCAGTCCAGCAAAAAGTGTCCCCTGCAGAGAGCTCCCGCTATTTCTGACAGTTCTCTGACAGTTCCTTGACATTTACAGCGGTTGAAACATTGTATCTATTTGTTTCCGAATAAAAACATCTGTATCCTAAATGGAAACAAATAGATACAATGTTTCAACCGCTGTAAATGTCAAGGAACTGTCAGAAATAGCGGAGCTCTCTTCAGGGACACTTTTTGCTGGCTGTAGAAGGGATGAAAATCGGCCGATTTTTTTTACCATTGATGGCAACGTCGGCCGCTTGAACGACCGAATTTTCATTTTTTAAAAGAAAAATCTGCCGTTTTTCTCCCCATCTATGGCCTGCATAAGGCCTCATGCACACGGGACGTTAAAAAAAACTCTTCCTTCCTGGCAGCACTGTTTTTGCAGAAAAAACGCCTGATGCTTGTAAAAGTATCTAACGCTTTTACAAGCGTTTAGGCGCATTTACAAGCGTTTAGGCGCATTTACAAGCGTCACGCACTTGGGCGTTAATTCATTTCATTGGCCAGAATGATCATTTATTCTGGTCATTGAAATTAATTAGCGCTCAAGTGTTAAATGCACCTAGCGTTTAGGCGCTTTTAGCCACGTCAAGCGTTTTTTCTGCTGCTCCTGGACGCACTGGCCCTGGGTGTTTTTTTTTTCCTGCCGGTAAATTCTACTAAAAGTCTATGTGTGTATGGGGGCAAAGGACAACATGGAGGGCCGTTTGGAAGCAGTAAAATGCCTGACGCCCCTAAAAGTGGCTGCAAAAATGCCCTGTGTGCATGAGGCCTAATGCTTGCCTATGGCATTGGCTCTGTTCTTAAACATTCAATCAAAGATCGTTCCCCATCGAGGAGTGATCGACGCATACAGACTGATACATCGTATGATTCTCTCTTACATCCTTCACCAATGTGTGCTTAGAGAATGAAGAACACTTGTACATACAGGCGTACCTCGATTTACGAATTTAATTCGTTCTGCGGGACTTTTCATATTGTGAAATATTGGTAAACTAAAACGCAGTTTCCCCAGAGGAATGCATTGAAAACCAATTAATCCGCTCCGGAGGTCAGAAAAACAGTAACAAAAAAAAGTATTTTTTATCTGTTCAAAACTCTTTATAGAGTGCACTTTAAAGGCATAAATATTGTACAGGGATATGATTAAAAATCAATTCATAAATGCATTGAAAACCAATTAATCCGTTCCTGAGGTCAGAAAAAAGTCAAAAATGGAGCACTATTCCTTCCATTGACACCAATGATGGGGCACTATTCCTTTAATTGACACCAAGGATGGGGCACTATTCCTCCAACTGACACCAATGATGGGGCACTATTCCTCCCACTGACACCAATGATGGGGCACTATTCCACCCACTGACATCAATGATGGGGCACTATTCCTCCCACTAATACCAATGATGGGGCACTATTCCTCCCACTGACACCAATGATGGGGCACTATTCCTCCCACTAATACCAATGATGGGGCACTATTCCACCCACTGATACCAATGATGGGGCACTATTCCTCCCACTGACACCAATGATGGGGCACTATTCCACCCACTGATACCAATGATGGGGCACTATTCCTCCCACTGACACCAATGATGGGGCACTATTCCACCCACTGATACCAATGATGGGGCACTATTCCTCCCACTGACACCAATGATGGGGCACTATTCATCCCATTGATACCAACGATGGGGCACTATTCATCCCATTGATACCAATGATGGGGCACTATTCCTCCCACTGACACCAATGATGGGACACTATTCCTCCCACTGACACCAATGATGGGGCACTATTCCACCCACTGATACCAATGATGGGGCACTATTCCTCCCACTGACACCAATGATGGGGCACTATTCAACCCACTGACACCAATGATGGGGCACTATTCCTCCCACTGACACCAATGATGGGGCACTATTCCTCCCACTGATACCAATGATGGGGCACTATTCCTCCCACTGACACCAATGATGGGGCACTATTCCTCCCACTGACACCAATGATGGGGCACTATTCCTCCCATTGATACCAATGATGGGGCACTATTCCTCCCACTGATACCAATGATGGGGCACTATTCCTCCCATTGACACCAATGATGGGGCACTATTCCTCCCATTGATACCAATGATGGGGCACTATTCCTCCCACTGATACCAACGATGGGGCACTATTCCTCCCACTGATACCAATGATGGGGCACTATTTCTCCCACTGACACCAATGATGGGGCACTATTCCTCCCACTGATACCAATGATGGGGCACTATTCCTCCCACTGACACCAATGATGGGGCACTATTCCACCCACTGATACCAATGATGGGGCACTATTCCTCCCACTGACACCAATGATGGGGCACTATTCCTTCCACTGGCACCAATGATGGGGCACTATTCCTCCCACTGACACCAATGATGGGGCACTATTCCTCCCACTGACATCAATGATGGGGCACTATTCCTCCCACTAATACCAATGATGGGGCACTATTTCTCCCACTGATACCAATGATGGGGCACTATTCCTCCCACTGATATCAATGATGGGGCACTATTCCTCCCACTGACACCAATGATGGGGCACTATTCCTCCCACTGACACCAATGATGGGGCACTATTCCTCCCACTAATACCAATGATGGGGCACTATTCCTCCCACTGACACCAATGATGAGGCACTATTCCTCCCACTGATACCAATGATGGGGCACTATTCCTCCCATTGATACCAATGATGGGGCCCTTTTTCTCCTATTGACACTAACAGTAGAGCACTATTTACTCCCCTAATACCAATGATGGGGCATTGTTTACTCCCACTGACATTTTCTGCTCCTACTGGTCACAGTCCAGCCCCCCTAAAGTTTGAAGGACAGTAAACCGGCCCTTTGTTTAGAGTTTGGAGACCACTGACATAGAGAATTACAGATACCCAGTGATTATGTTGCAAGGTCTAAAATAAGGGATGTAATAAAATAGTAAATACAAAAAAAAAAAAAAGTTATAAGTACAATATGTTGATGATGGAGAAAGGAAGAACCAGGGAATGCAAAATCTAAGCAGAATAAACTTCATCTTTAATATTTCCTGAAACTGTTTCATATTTACCCTCAATTTCATCATAATGAAGTTTATGTAAAAAAAAAAGCAACAAAAAAAAAACTTTTATTCAATTTTCATTTACTGACCTTTTAATGCATTTGCAATGCTTACAGGGGAACTCCGGCCCAAACTTTTTCATTATATTTTTATTTATTTATTTTTTAGAGAAGACACCAACATGTAATTTTAAACAAGATTTGTCAGGTCATCGAATGTTCTGAGAATTTTGATGCGAACATTTGTAAAAGTGTTCGTTCTAAAATCTACTAGTGTACGGCCAGCTGGACCCGTTTCCAGATTTTATTGCAGTCTGTGGCCTGTCCCTCCCCCTCTCTTTCTATCCCGATGGTCATTGTCACCGGTGCAAAAAGTAAGAAGAGTTCCAAAATTTGGGATCAGAACAAGAAGTAACGGGTAGAGAAAAAATATCGCTGGTGTGTCATTTCTTTATTAGCTTCTCAACCTATACTTGATAAAGTGCTAGCTCTGGTGGTTCGGTATTATCTGAACGCAGCCACGGGCCGGAGTCCCCCTTTAATGGTGTCAGATGTTGCTCCGCTGACTCTCCCCTGCGTCCGGCCATCGCGTACGGGGAGGTGGCGGCGGTAGATTTGGCTCCATTAAATGGAGGGAGATGAAGATGTCAATGTTGTAAGAAAGGACATGTTGTTGGTTGAACGCCTTGGGCCCTGTGACCGCATCCCTCTGCTCACACTGCTCTCCATTCTTCTCAGCTGCAGGAAGAACAGTTGGATTGTGGGGCCGCGCATCTCCAGCACCCGCTCACCATCAATCGGCCTCTGTCTGCCACCCCGCTCTTCAAGGCTCCTGGACTGACCTCGGTGGCGGTGGCCAACGTTAGCGGCTACACGGTGGCCTTCCTTGGCACGGCAGGCGGGCAGCTTCTGAAGGTAACCTGAATGAATGTTCATTTTTTTTGCATTGCAAATGTTTGATGAGATAGTAGCCAGTGGTGTCACTATGGGGGTGCGCACCGTGCCTGGGTGACACCCACCAGAGGGGTAACACCCACCAGAGGGGTGACACCGGTCCCGCCATTTACGAGCCGCCGCTGTCATTCTCTCAATCTGCGGAGGGGCAGGACAGCTGTGGATAGGCTGCAGGGTTGCCCGACTTAAGAGCAGGTGATTGGTTGTTCGGGGGCAGGGCAATGCTAGCAGCCAATCACCAGCTTGCAGCTCCCTCCCTCTTTTCAGACTCGCTGTGTCTCCAGCCCCCCATACTGGCTGTGTAAGGTGAGACAGGAGGAGGGGCAATGAGGAGGCAATGTGAGGGGGGGGGGCTGAGGACAGTAATGGGGCGCTGTGGGTGGGGGGAGCTGAGGACAGTAATGGGGCGCTGTGGGTGGGGGGGGATGAGAAAAGAAATGGAGCACTGTGGGGGGATAGCAATTGGGATAGACTGAGGACATTAATGGGGGGGGGGGGGGGCTGAAGATAATAATAGGGAGAGCTGAGAACAGTAATTGAGGGACTGTGGACAGTAATGGGGGTCTTTAGGACAGTAATGGGAGAACTGAGGGCAGTAATGGGGGTATTGAGGACAGTGATGGGGGTTGAGGACAGTAATGGGGTCACTTAGGACAATAATGGGGAAGGGACTGAGGATAGTAATGGGGTCACTGAGGACATTATTGGGGTGTACTGAGGACATTAATGGGATCACTGTGGACATTATTGCGGGGGACAGAGGACTTTATTTGAGGGGACTGAGGACAATAATGGAGGCTTGAGAGCAAGAATTGGTAGAGGGGGACTGAGGATGGTAATGGGGGTCTGGAGGGCTTTAGGACAGTAATTGGGGGCTTGACAGTAATTTGGGGTCTGAGGACAGTAATGGGGGCCTCAAGGACAGTAATGGAGGCCTGAGGACAGTAATGGGAGGACTGAGGGCAGTAATGGGAGGACTGAGGGCAGTAATGAGGGTATTGAGGACAGTAATGGAGGCCTGAGGACAGTAATGGGAGGACTGAGGGCAGTAATGAGGGTAGTGAGGACAGTAATGGGGTCACTGAAGATATTAATGGGGAAGGGACTCAGGACTGTAATGGGGTCACTGAGGACATTATTGTGGTGTACAGAGGACATTAATGAGATCACTGTGGCTATTGTTGCGGGGGGACTGAGGACTTTATTTGAGGGGACTGAGGACAGTAATGGGAGGACTGAGGGCAGTAATGAAGGTATTGAGGACAGTAATGGGGTCACTGAAGATATTAATGGGGAAGGGACTCAGGACAGTAATGGGGTCACTGAGGACATTATTGGGGTGTACAGAGGACATTAATGAGATCACTGTGGCTATTGTTGCGGGGGGGGGGATTGAGGACTTTATTTGAGGGGACTGAGGACAGTAATGGGGGCTTGAGGACAAGAATTGGTAGAGGAGGACTGAGGACAGTAATGGGGGTCTGGGGGGCTTGAGGACAGTAATTGGGGGTCTGAGGACAGTAATGGGGGGCTGAGGACAGTAATGGGGTCACTAAGGACATTCATGTGGAGGACTGATGACAGTAATGGGGTCACTGAGGAAATTATGGGGGGGGGGACTGAGGACAGTAATTGGGGGCCTGAGGACAGTAATGGAGGGCTGAGGACAGTAATGGGGTCACTGAGGACATTATTGGGGAGGACTGAGGACATTAGTTGGGGGCCTGAGGACAGTAATGGGGGGCTGAGGACAGTAATGGGGTCAGTGAGGACATTAAAGGGGGGGCTGAGGACAGTAATGGGGTCACTGAGGACATTATTGGGGAGGACTGAGGACAGTAATGGGGTCACTGAGGAAATTATGGGGGATGGGACTGAGGACTTTATTTAAAGGGACTGAGGACAGTAATGGGGGCTTGAGGGCAAGAATTGGTAGAGGAGGACTGAGGACAGTAGGACTGAGGACTGAGGAGGGACAGCTGCCCTGGCACAGCAGAGCAAGGGGGCAGAGAATGGACACAGGGCAGAAACCCATTCTACGGCATGCATTAACAGTGGGGGAGGGGCACAGTTCTGCATCCTTGCTCTGGACACTAAATAAACCTGTCCTGTTACTGGATGCAGACCCTGCCGCTTTCTTCATTAGAATCTTACAAGTGCAGCAGTTGATAGATGATGATAGAATCAGTCCCATTCAATGCACTTTCCACATCAACCAAACAGCTATTTCTTCAGAATAACAAAAGGTAGGAATCTGCAATAAAATGTGTTAAAATCCTTTCAATGTATTATACAGTGCCCTGAAAAAGTATTCATACCCCTGGAAATGTCCCCCATGTTGTTACAGATTTATTGGGATTGGATGTGATAGAACAACACAAAGTGGCCCATAATTGTGAAGTGGAAGGAAAATGAGAAATGGTTTTCAACATCTGTGACCAATAAATCTGTGAAAAGTGCAAAGGCATTTGTATTCAGCCCCCCGGAGTCAATACTTTGTAGAACCCCCTTTGGCTGCCATTCCAGCTGCAAGTCTTTTTGGGGATGTCTCTTTGCACATCTAGAGAGGGACATTTCTGCCCATTCTTCTTTGCAGAATTGCTCAAGCTCTGTCAGATTGGATTGAGGGCGTCTGGGAACAGCAATTTTCAGGTCTGGCCACAGATTCTCCATTGGATTTGGGTCTGGACTGTGACTGGGCCATTCTAACACATGAAGATGCTTTGATCGGAACCATTCCATTGTAGCTCTGACTGGATGTTTTGGGTCGTTGTCCTGCTGGAAGGGGAACCTCTGCCCCGGTCTCAAGTCTTTTGCAGACTCTAACAGGTTTTCTTCTAAGATTGCCCTGTATTTGGCTCCATCCATCTTCCCATCAACTCTGACCAGCTTCCCTGTCCCTGCTGAAGAAAAGCATCCCCACCACATGATGCTGCCACCACCATGTTTCACGTTGGGGATGGTGTGTTCAGGGTGATGGGCAGTGTTAGTTTCCCCCCACACATAGTGTTTTGCTTTTAGGCTGAAAAGTTTCATGTTGGTCTCCTCTGACCAGAGCCCCTTCTTCCACATTTGCTGTGTCCCCCACATGGCTTCTCGCAAATTGCAAACGGGACTTCTTATGGCTTTCTTCCAACAATGGCTTTCTTCTTGTCACTCTTCCATAAAGGTCAGATTTGTGGAGTGCACGACTAATAGTTGTCCTGAGGACAGATTCTCCCCCTGAGCTGTGATCTCTGCAGCTCCTCCAGAGTTCCCATGGGCCTCTTGGCTGCTTCTCTGATGAATGCTCTCCTTGCCCGGCCTGTCAGTTTAGGTGGACGGCCATGTCTTGGTAGGTTGGCAGTTGTGCCATACTTTTTCCATTTTCGGATGATGGATTGAACAGTGCTCCGCAAGATGGTCAAAGCTTGGGATTTTTTTTTTAGAACCTAACCCTGCTTTAAACTTCTCCACAACTTTATCCCTGACCTGTCTGGTGTGTTCCTTGGCCTTCATGATGCTTTTTGTTCACTAATGTTCTCTGCACAGAACAGCTGGATTTATACTGAGATCACATGACACACAGGTGTACTCTATTTACTAATTAGGTGACTCCTGAAGGCAATTGGTTCCACTAGATTTTAGTTAGGGGTATCAGAGTAAAGGGGGCTCAATACAAATGCATGCCACACTTTCAGATATTTATTTGTAAAAAATGTTGAAAACCACAATTATGTGCCACTTTCTGTTGGTCTATCACATAAAATCCCAATAAAATACATTGACATATTTGGTTGTAAAATGACAACATAGGGAACATTGCAAAGGGGTATGAATACTTATTCAAGGCACTGTGTATGTAATTATTATTATTATACAGGATTTATATGGCGCCAACAGTTTGCTCAGCGCTTTACAATATAACAGGAGACAATACAGCAACAATACAGTTCAATACAAGAGGGATAGGAGGGCCCTGATCCTGGGAGCTTACAATCTAGGAGGGAGGGGCTAGTGGTACAAAAGGTAGTAACTGTGGGGGATGGAGTGGTAGGAAGAGTAGAAGATTCCATTATTAGCTGAGGGCAGGATAGGCTTCCCTGAAGAGAGAGGTTTTCAGAGATCGCCTAAAAGTGAGCAGAGTAGGCGATAGTCTGATAAATTGGGGTAGAGAGTTCCAGAGGATGGGGGAAGCTCTGGAGAAGTCCTGGAGACGAGCATGGGAGGAGGAGACAAGGGAGCTCAAGAGCAGGAGGTCGTGCGTTATTGTCAATGTTTTGAATTTTATCCGTTGGGCAATAGGAAGCCAGTGGAAGGATTGGCAGAGAGGGGTGGCAGATACAGAACAGTTAGTAAGGTGGGTGAGTCTGGCAGCAGCCATTGTGGGAAGGCCAGCACTGTGAGCCATTCAAACTCTTCTGCATTGCACATCTCTGTCTGTCTAACACTGGGTGCTTGCTAACAGGAGGGAGCAGGCGGACCAAAGTTGTAACCTCATCAGCATAGCAATGCACCTAAAGCTAAACTTATTCACAACTTATCCTCTTTACAGATGCCATATGCAGAAGAGGTGGGGCTTATTTGCCTATGGGCGGGGCATAGCAGGGGTGCACTACCAGGGTTTAATTACTAGCAGACTTCCAATCCTATCCAAAAATTGTAAAAAAGAAAGTATCTACGTCCCCTTTAAATCGCGTCCTTGGAGGGGAAGGTAGCACTAGGATGGAAGAATCTGCGGTCTCACCTTTACCTTGTGAATATGTGACGCACACCCACGGGTTCTGGCGGTGTATTCTGCGGCACACGTATTTGTCAGCGCTTCATACTTTTCCTGCAAAAGACAAACACGCTGCGATCTAAATAAAGCCGCATTGTCAGCACGGCACCTTTTCTGCCACTAATGTCATGTCTGTGTCAGCACGACGCGAATAACATTCAGGAAACGCGCGTCCCCTTCCAATGTCTTCTTAACAGAAATCACTTGTAGATTGACATAATAAAAAGATGCGATTGTTGTGGATTAGACCGCCACACGCAGATCGGTCATATTCTGTGCGCTGCAACATGTTGTGTTAGTGCATTGGGTGCCGCCGTAGAGCAATGTACCGCAGTAAACATGTTGCTGTACATTTGTTTTAATGCATGGCTAAATGCACATTTTTATCGTGCGTTCGCGGAACACACAGATGTGAACGGCCCCTTAGGCACCGTTCACACCTGAGCATTTTTTGTACGTATTTACGAAAATCGCTTAACCACTTCCATATTGCGCTATAGCCGAATGATGGCTACAGCGCGATCGTCCGGTCCTGGGAGCGCGTCATATGACATCCTCCCAGAACGCATCCCCAGCGGGGCACACTCAGCGCTCTTTGTGGTCGCTGTGTCCTTTGGACACAGCTGATCACATGACACGGTAAAAGGCCAATCACAGCGGCCTCTTACTACGTGATCAGCTGTGTCCAATGACGGTGATCGGCAGCACTTTCCTCGCGCTGTCACTACATGAGGAGAGTACTGCCGATAACTGGCAACTGTCAAAGGATACATCTGCACTGCAGTGCAGCCCCAAAATTGCCCATCAGTTCCCAGCAGTGCTGCCCATCAATGCCCAACAGTGCTGTCCATCAGTGCCCAACAGCGCTGCCCATCAGTGCCCAGCTTTACTGCCCATCAATGCTCAACAGTGCTGCCCATCAGTGCCCAACAGTGCTGCCCAGCAATGCTGCCCATCAGTCATCAGTACCCAACAGTGCTGCCCAGCAATGTTGCCCATCAGTGTCCAACTGTGCTGCCCAGCAATGGTGCCCAACAGTGCTGCCCAGCAATGCTGTCCATCAGTGCCCAACAGTGCTGCCCAACAAGGCTGTCCATCAGTGCCCAACAGTGCTGCCCAGCAATGCTGCCTATCAGTGCCCAACAGTGCTGCCAATCTGTGCTCATCAGTGCTGCCAGTTGGTACCAGCTATCAGTGCCGTCAATCAGTGCCCTTCAGTACTACCTATTAGTGCCAATCAGTGCCGCATATTAGTGCCCTTCAGTGCTGCCTCATCAGTGCTGCCTCATCAGTGCAGCCTATCAGTGCCCATCAGTGCTGCCTATCAGTGCAGCCTCATCAACGCACATCAGTGAAGGAGAAAAATTACCTGTTTGCAACATTTTATAAACAGACACAAAAAAATAATTTTTTTTTTAAAGATTTTCCCTCTTTTTTCGTTTATAGCACAAAAAATAAATACCACCAAAAACAAAGCTCTATTTGTGTGGGAAAAAAAGATAAAAATGTGATATGGGTACAGTGTTGCATGACCGCGCAATTGTCCTTCAAAGTGCAACAGCCCTGAAAGCTGAAAACTGTCCTGGGCAGGAAGGGGGTGGAAGTGCCCGGAATTGAGGGGTTCAAAGTCATGTCCCATTTGTGGCACTGTTCATGGTTAGTGGCACCCCAAATGCAGCAAGCAGATGCACATTTTTTTTTTTGTCACATGGAAAAAACGCGTAACGAACACGGGAAATAAACACGCTAAACTGAACCATGTGAGGTGCTTCGCTGTGTCTGCCGTGTGTAGGGCAGCCCCCATTGATATGAATAGACCGCTCTATGCGTGTCACGGGAAAATGCACAGAAAAAAGTGCAAGAAACATGCGTGTCCAAAGCGTCTGTGGTGAATGGGGTCTGGTAATGACTGGTATGGTGAGGGATAACCCTTTCAGGGTCTCCGGATGTCCATCTGAGACCCCCCCTGTCTGTCCTTTCCTTCACTCGGCCGCTTGTCATTCATCTGATAAACTTTTTTCTCTCCGTCTGAAGCCGCGTTTCCTCCTATCGGCGCAGATCGCTCCCCAAGCTCCCGGTTACTAATGCAATTCGGAGACGACGGGCCGCTTCCAGAGGACCTCCGACCTCCGGCTAATGGCGTGTAATTGAGCTGTGCGTTCCCGGGAGAGATGGTGATAATGTGTTAACATGTGGAATAAAATACCCCCTCCCCCCGTATTGTCCCCCGTCTGACAATTGCCCATTGAGACCTCAAACACGCCGTATTTAATCTCGCACCTCGCTCCCCAGCCGCGTACCGCCACGCTTGGTTTTTTTACCTATCAGCGTAATAACCAGACACATGCAAATGGAAAACGGAAATTGAGGCGGCACACGGCGGCGGCAAAAAATGGTGTTTGCTGAGGGGTCCCCTGCGCCGGAGTTATGGGCTGGGGGTGATTAATGAGGGTTCCAGGGGCCGGAGTTATGGGCTGGGGGTAATTAATGAGGGTTCCGGGGGCCGGAGTTATAGGCTGGGGGTAATTAATGAGGGTTCCAGGGGCCGGATTTATGGGCTGGGGGTAATTAATGAGGGATCCAGGTGCCGGAGGTATGGGTTGGGGGTAATTAATGAGGGTTCCGGGGGCCGGATTTATGGGCTGGGGGTAATTAATGAGGGTTCCAGGGGCCGGAGTTATAGGCTGGGGGTAATTAATGAGGGTTCCAGGGGCCGGATTTATGGGCTGGGGGTAATTAATGAGGGTTCCAGGGGCCGGAGTTATGGGCTGGGGGTGATTAATGAGGGTTCCAGGGGCCGGATTTATGGGCTAGGGGTAATTAATGAGGGTTCCGGGGGCCGGAGTTATGGGCAGAGGGTAATTAATGAGGGTTCCGGGGGCCGGAGTTATGGGCAGAGGGTAATTAATGAGGTTTCCGGGGGCCGGAGCTATGGGCAGAGGGTAATTAATGAGGGTTCCAGTGGCCGGAATTATAGGCTGGGGGTAATTAATGAGGGTTCCGGGGGCCAGAGTTATGGGCTGGGGTAATTAATGAGGTTTCCAGGGGCTGGAGTTATGGGCTGGGGGTAATTAATGAGGGTTCCGGAGGCCAGAGTTATGGGCTGGGGGGTAATTAATGAGGGATCCAGGAGCTAGAGTTATGGGCTGGGGGTAATTAATGAGGGTTCCGGGGGCCAGAGTTATGGGCTGGGGGTAATTAATGAGGGTTCCAGTGGCCGGAGTTATGGGCTGGGGGTAATTAATGAGGTTTCCAGGGACCAGAGTTATGGGCAGAGGGTAATTAATGAGGGTTCCAGGGGCCAGAGTTATGGGCTGGGGTTAATTAATGAGGGTTCCGGGGGCCGGAGTTATGGACTGGGGGTAATTAATGAGGGTTCCAGGAGCTAGAGTTATGGGCTGGGGGTAATTAATGAGGGTTCCCGGGGCCAGAGCTATGGGCTGGGGGTAATTAATGAGGGTTCCAGGGGCCGGAGCTATGGGCTGGGGGTAATTAATGAGGGTTCCAGGGGCCGGAGTTATGGGCTGGGGGTAATTAATGAGGGTTCCAGGGGCCGGAGCTATGGGCTGGGGGTAATTAATGAGGGTTCCAGGGGCCGGAGTTATGGGCTGGGGGTAATTAATGAGGGTTCCAGGGGCTGGAGTTTATGGGCTGGGGGTAATTAATGAGGGTTCCAGGGGCCGGAGCTATGAGCTGGAGGTAATTAATGAGGGTTCCAGAGAAAAGGTTACAAATTTGGTGTCTACAAATGACAGAAATGGCCATTGCACTCCTTTTCTTGTGATATTCATTTTGGGGCCCATTCACACAGGCACTCAGGCCCCTATGGCTGCAATTGCCTGGAGCCATGAGTAAGCAGCCTATTGTACTCTATGGGGATGCAGCGGCTGTAAGGACGCAGCTGCTCATCCTGATGTGGTAGGCATGCAGGGGCCATTGAGGGGCCGCATGGGCTTACCTGTCCTCATAGAGCAGGGGTGCTCAACCTTTACATGTGCAAGGGCCACTTCAGTGATTTGGTAATTGGCCGTGCGCCACAATGAAATGGTTCAGAATTTCGATTTTTTTTTTTTATTAATTTTGAATAGCATAATAAACATTTTCCTCCTGCAGTCGCTGAATTCCGGTGGGAGGGAGAGGAGGAGAAGCCAACTTTCAGCAGTTGCAGGAGGAAAATGGGGAGGATCAGCCTCTGTATAAAACAAAACATGACAGGGAGGCCACATGGGCCCCCTGGAGCGTGGGGCAGGGTCACCATTGCGACCCCTGATGCTACGCCAGTGGTTGGGGGTTATGGTAAAAACACATCTCAACTATGGGGCTTTACCAGGGGGGGGTTTGTTTGTTTTGGTTTTTTGGGGTTTTTTTGAAAGGGTTGTTTTTTTGGGGGGGGGGTTGTTACTTTTTTGTCTGAGTATAGATCTATGGTTGTCCCAGTGGCATCATTCCGGGGTGATTGAAAGCTGCAGACCGGAACGGAAATATCTTCAGTGTCTCTTTCTCCATCCTCACAGATCACTCTGGATGATGACATGAAAATCGTGAGCCGTCAGTCCCTTCTGATAGCGCGGGGTGAGCCGGTCCACCACATCATGCGCTTCGATCCTGTGAACCCCACCTACCTCTACGTGATGACCACACATCAGGTATGTGATGGGCAGTCACAGCGTGTTTCCCGCTACAGTGATGCATCATAACTGACTTTATACTATTACTGAACATCGATCAGGTGGGAGAAAGAGATACAAAGTAACATTGTTTATAAACATCGATCAGATGGGAGATAGAGAGATACAAAGTAACATTGTTTATAAACATCGATCAGACAGGAGATGGAGAGATACAAAGTAACATTGTTTATAAACATCGATCAGATGGGAGATAGAGAGATACAAAGTAACATTGTTTATAAACATCGATCAGATGGGAGATAGAGAGATACAAAGTAACATTGTTTATAAACATCGATCAGGTGGGAAATAGATACAAAGTAACATTGTTTATAAACATCGATCAGATGGGAGATAGAAATACAAAGTAACATTGTTTATAAACATCGATCAGACGGGAGATAGAGAGATACAAAGTAACATTGTTTATAAACATCGATCAGACGGGAGATAGAGAGATACAAAGTAACATTGTTTATAAACATCGATCAGATGGGAGATAGAAATACAAAGTAACATTGTTTATAAACATCGATCAGACGGGAGATAGAGAGATACAAAGTAACATTGTTTATAAACATCGATCAGACGGGAGATAGAGAGATACAAAGTAACATTGTTTATAAACATCGTTCAGATGGGAGATAGAGAGATACAAAGTAACATTGTTTATAAACATCGATCAGACGGGAGATAGAGAGATACAAAGTAACATTGTTTATAAACATCGATCAGACAGGAGATAGAGAGATACAAAGTAACATTGTTTATAAACATCGATCAGACGGGAGATAGAGAGATACAAAGTAACATTGTTTATAAACATCGATCAGACAGGAGATAGAGAGATACAAAGTAACATTGTTTATAAACATCGATCAGACGGGAGATAGAGAGATACAAAGTAACATTGTTTATAAACATTGATCAGACGGGGGGGGGGGGGGGGGGGGTGTAGAGGGAGGAGAGCTGAATCAGTAAGTTGCAGCAATAATATACTACGTAGTGTCTAGGCAAGTGCTGCCAAAAAATAGGCGCAACATTTGTGTGAAGCCGCCATGTTTGTTTTGGCAGACCCCAATATGGCTGCTCAGTCACACCAGAACGGTCTGCCCCCCCCCCTCCCAGTCCTGTAATGATGCATCCCTCGAGGTGTGTGCCCGATGAGGACCACGTTTCTTACCACTTGTGGCCCCCGGCTGACCCTCTGCTGAGATATGAGATGTATTATGATGCCTATAGTCACCAATCTCGTTCCCGCGTTTATTTCCAGATGGCGCAGGTAAAGGTGGCGGATTGCAACACGTTTCAGACGTGTACGGAGTGTCTGGGGGCAGCAGACGCCTATTGTGGTTGGTGCACAATGGAAGCCAGGTAAGTGGCCCTCCAGCCTACAGCTGACATTCAATCTGCTGATATTCTGCCTTCCAAGACCCCCCCCCCCCCCCCCATCAATATGCTGGTGACATCTTTACACAAAATGTTTCTATTTTCATTAACTACCTAATTTTACATACTTATGCAGGCCATAGACGGGTCGAACATCGGCCGATTTGTCTGAAAAAAACAAACGGAAAAATCGGTCGTTCGATTGGCCGACGTTACCACCAACGCAGGGGCGGACTAACCATTTGAAAACTCGGGCACTGCCCGAGGGCCCGGGGTCAGCAGGGGGCCCCATGAGATGCCCCTGGTACCTTTTTCATAGGCTTTTTTAAGTTTGGGCAAGGACACAGGGGCCCCATGATCCTATATTGCCCGGGGGCCCCGTGAGTTGTCAGTCCGCCCCTGCACCAACTTTAAAAAAAATCGGCTGACTAAATCATAAACTCAACCCCATAACTTCTGTCCCTTGCAGGTCACGGCTCACGGATTTTTTTTTTTTCGGTAAAACGATTGGCCGATTTGCCCATCATTGCTGGGAAAATCGGGCGTTTGTCAAAATCGGCCGCAAATTTTCCAACATGACCGATAAAAAAAATGTGCAAAAGATCCGAAAAACAGCCAATAAATTAACCCACTAATGGTGCGAAAATCGGACAATTTATTTTTCGGCTGATTTTCGAGCCGTCTGTGGCCGGCATAAGTCTGGCTGAAAAAAGACAAAAGTCCATCCAGTTCAACCAAAAAAAACCCAAAAAATTATCCTACACCCACAGCTGATTCAGAGGAAGATAAAAAAACCCAGCAAAGCACGATCCAATTCGCTCCTGCAGGGGGAAAAAAATCCTTCCATTCCCGCGTTGTTATCATTCCTCGCCGAGTTCCGCTTGCTTTGTCGCCGGTCACAAATCGCGGTCTGTTAGCGGCGAACAAACTAATCACAATTTTTTTTTCTAGCCGGCGATAAAACTTTGTATCCGTCGAATGTGCGCATTAATGGCCTGAATATCAATCGCGGCGGGAGTGACGAGCGCGTTGCAGATCTTCCGTCTGATTAATTAGGAGGCGGATTAATGTATGCGGCGAGCCGCGGCGCGAGCTTCCGATGTTGTCGCGGAGTCGTGAAGGTCAGCGGAAGCCGCGGCGCTGCTGATACGCGGATAATTGCTTATCGCTATTCCAGATCAGGACAAATCAGGCTCATTAATCTCGCGTCAGATCGCTGACATTCACCCGTGAGACTTCGGGGATTTGCGTTGTCGGTTATCTATTCGCAACTGCAACCAAAAAAAACAAAAAACAAATGATGCGTACAAGATGAATATATTCCCGCCCACTGCAGGCTGCCTGCAGAAAGCTACAGGAGGGGGCGGAGACAGACCAGTCACCCTGCACAAGGAGAGAAAGCAGAGCAGTGGGAGGGGCCTAGCGGTATGACGCATCCCTGGGAGGGACGGCCTGCTCTGTGATCGCTGTGTCTGTCGGACACAGCGATCACTGTAAAGGGCCAATCACAGCGGTTCTTTACCACGGGATCAGCTGTGTCCAATGACACAGCTAATCATGATGTAAACACACAGTTGCCGGTTATTGGCTGCAGTTTCTTCGGTAACTGGAAACTATGTAAGAGGACATCAGTGCAGCCCCAACAGTGCCCATCAGTGCCACCTATCAGTGCCCTTTAGTGCCACCTATCAGTGCTAATTGGTGCCACATACCGGTGCCTCCTCGTCAGTGCCCATAAGTGTAGCCTATCAGTGCCCAGCAGTGTTGCCTATCAGTGCAGCCTCATCAGTGCCCATCAGTGCTTCCTATCAGTGCCCATCAGTGCTACATATCAGTGCAGCCTCATCAGTGCCCATAAGTGCAGCCTATCAGTACCCATCAATGCTGCCTATCAGTGCCACCTCAACAGTGCCCATCAGTGCTTCCTATCAGTGCTGCATATCAGTGCAGCCTCATCAGTACCCATTAGTGCTGCATAACAGTGCCCATCAGTGCTGCATATCAGTGCCCATCAGTGCCGCCTCATCAATGCCCATCAGTGCTGCATATCAGTGCCGCCTCGTCAGTGCTGCATATTAATGCCCATCAGTGCTGCCTCACCAATGCCCATCAGTGCTGCATATCAGTGCCCATCAGTGCCGCCTCATCAATGCCCATCAGTGCTGCATATCAGTGCTCATCAGTGCTGCCTCATCAATGCCCATTAGTGCTGCATATCAGTGCCCATCAGTGCTGCCTGTCAGTGCCCATCAGTGTTGCATATCAGTGCACATCAGTGCTGCATATCAGTGCCCATCAGTGCTGCATATCAGTACCCATCAGTGCTGCCTCATTAATGCCCATCAGTGCTGCCTGTCAATGCCCATCAGTGTTGCATATCAGTGCCCATCAGTGCTGCATATTAGTACCCATCAGTGCTGCCCATCAGTACCCATCAGTGCTGCCCATCAGTACCCATCAGTGCTGCATATCAGTGTCCAATGGTGCAACCTAATCAGAGCATATCTGTGAAAGAGATGTTAAGAAAGAAATATTTTTATATTTTTTTTATTTTTTTTTGTTTAGCAAAAAAAAAAAAAAAATCCCAGTGGTGAATAAATGCAATCAAAATAAAGCTTTATCTGTCTCAAAATGATCAAAAATTCATATGGGTACAGTGTTGCATGATCGCGCAATTATTCAAAGTGCGACAACGCTGAAAGCTAAAAATATCCCTGGGGGCAGGAAGGGGGTGACAGCACCTGGCAGGCGAGGGGTTAAAAACTGAATGTTAAAAGCAGATGAGATTTCCGGATGCCAATCGTCCATTAATATTCCGGAGGGAAGATCCGTGTATGGCCGGCGTTGGGCTGTAATAAAAAGGAATATATAAAGCATAGTAGCCGTATCCCATAGCTGCTCCTTATGGGGGTTCCGGACTCAGACCTTTGGTATCGCCCCAAATCTTTGTTTGCTTTCTTACCCGTCACCCCCAATCTTGGGATATTTCAGGTGTTCCATGCAACAAGAATGCTCTAATTCTGAAGATGGCGTGTTCTGGACCAGCCCAAGAGGAGGGGTGCAGCAGTGTCCGACGGTCAAAATTATCCCGGATAAAATCGACTTCTCCTCCGAGACTCTGGTGAGTGAGCGATGACTCTTGGAGCGTACAGAGGGGGCTCACCTCACTTGGTACGGAACATAGAGGGGCTCACCTCACTTGGTACGGAACATAGAGGGGGCTCATCTCACTTGGTATGGAACATAGAGGGGCTCACCTCACTTGGTACGGAACATAGAAGGGGCTCACTTCACTTGGTACGGAACATAGGGGGGGCTCACCTCACTTGGTACGGAACATAGAGGGGCTCACCTCACTTGGTACGGAACATAGAAGGGGCTCACTTCACTTGGTACGGAACATAGGGGGGGCTCACCTCACTTGGTACGGAACATAGAGGGGGCTCACCTCACTTGGTACGGAACATAGAGGGGGCTCACCTCACTTGGTACGGAACATAGAGGGGCGCACTTCACTTGGTACAGAACATAGAGGGGCCTCACCTCACTTGGTACGGAACATAGAGGGGGCTCACCTCACTTGGTACGGAACATAGAGGGGCTCACCTCACTTGGTACGGAACATAGAGGGGCTCACCTCACTTGGTACGGAACATAGAGGGGCTCACCTCACTTGGTACGGAACATAGAGGGGCTCACCTCACTTGGTACGGAACATAGAGGGGGCTCACCTCACTTGGTACAGAACAGAGGGGGCTCACCTCACTTGGTATGGAACATAGAGGAGGTTCACTTCACTTGGTAGGGAACACAGAGGGGGCTCACCTCACTTGCTAGGGAACATAGAGGGGGCTCACCTCACTTTATAAGGAACATAGAGGGGGCTCACCTCACTTGGTACAGAACATAGAGGGGGCTCACCTCACTTGGTACGGAACATAGAGGGGGCTCATCTCACTTTATAAGGAACATAGAGGGGGCACACCTCACTTGGTACGGAACATAGAGGGGGCTCACAGATCTTCCTAGTGCAATATTTTTGGGATCTGTAGATCGTCCTATTGGATTGTTTTTAAGATATATACAGTAGATCTTATTGTTGGAACATTTTTGGGATCCATAGATCATTTTATCAGAATGTTTCTGGGATCTATAGATCTTCCTATTGGAATGTTTTTGGGGATCTATAGATCTTCCTATTGGAATGTTTTTGGGATCTATAGATCTTCCTATTGGAATGTTTTGGGGGATCTATAGATCTTCCTATTGGAAGGCTTTTAGGGGATCTATAGATCTTCCTATTGGAATGTTTCTGGGATCTATAGATCTTCCTATTGGAATGTTTTTGGGGGATCTATGAATCTTCCTATTGGAATGTTTCTGGGATCTATAGATCTTCCTATTGGAAGGCTTTTGGGGGGTCTATAGATCTTCCTATTGGAATATTTCTGGGATCTATAGATCTTCCTATTGGAATGTTTTTGGGATCTATAGATCTTCCTATTGGAATGTTTTTGGGATCTATAGATCTTCCTATTGGAATGTTTTGGGGGATCTATAGATCTTCTTATTGGAATGTTTTTGACATCTATAGATCTTTCTAGTGGAATGTTTTTAGGATCTATAGATCATCCTATCGGTTTGCTTTAGACTCTATAGCTGTTCCTATTGGAACCTTTTTGGGATGTAAAGATCTTCCTATTGGAATTTTTCATCTATAATGATTTTCCTCCCTTCTCCCCTCTAGACGATCCTTCTCCACATCACGGGGAACCTCCCCAGCCTCCAGTTACTGAACTCTTCCTGTGACTACGGGAATGGGATTCGCTTGCCGGCCACCATTGTGGAGGACTCTCAACAACAGTGGGCTCACTGCTCCTTCCTTCCATGGGACAAATTCCCGCCATTCCCCGCCAACCAAGGTACAGCAGGACACTCCGGCTCCGCCAAGGCTTGGCAGCCGTGGCGCCATCTTGTCAGCGGCGACATACTAATTATCGGATCCTTGTATTGGCGTTTGGAGTTGGATGCAGATATTTGAACAGTAGTCATGTAAGGAATCGCTCCAGGAGGAGGTCGGAGGGATGTCAGGCGGAGGAGGAGGTCGGAGGGTTGTCAGGAGGAGGTCGGAGGGTTGTCAGGAGGAGGTCGGTGGGTTGTCAGGAGGAGGTCGGAGGGTTGTCAGGAGGAGGTCGGTGGGTTGTCAGGAGGAGGTCGGAGGGTTGTCAGGAGGAGGTCGGAGGGTTGTCAGGAGGAGGTCGGTGGGTTGTCAGGAGGAGGTCGGAGGGTTGTCAGGAGGAGGTCGGAGGGTTGTCAGGAGGAAATCGGAGGGTCGTCACGGTTAACGTCCAAATTGCCGTGAAATTGGAATGATAATTTGGGTTATTACCGCGGTAATTCTACGCGTTTTTTCCCAATCGATTGCTGTGTGTGACCTCTAATTGTACGCTGGAGGAATTTTCACCACCACAACAAGGCAACCAGTAAAATCCATCAATGACCTGACAATGGTCTCAGGAATCTGCAGAGATCGGGAGGCTGCCATTACTGACCTCCTGAAAATGTTTTCAAATTTTTTTTTGAATTCGGTTGAAATCTTTTGGATTTTGAACAACTTTTTTGGAATTTTGTTGAATCAATTTCGAATTCGGTTGAACCAATTTCAGATTGCATTTCGGACAAATGTTTTTTGTTTTTTGGAGATTCGGATGTACCCGAATAAAGAATTACAAAAATAACAAATTTAAACGAATCCGAAGTCACGAAACAAAATTCGGACAAAATTTGATTCAAAAACAGAATCAAATTTTCTACTCCTTTACACTCACCGGCTTCTTTATTGGTTCCTCCTGGTAAACTGCTTGGTAACACAAATTGCTAGTCAGCCAATCATATGGCAGTAACTCAATGCAGTAGGCATCTAGATGTGGTGAAGACGACTTGCTGAAGCTCAAACTGATCATCAGCATGGGTAAGAAAGGAGATTTCAGTGACTTGGAATTCGCCATGGTTGCTGGTGCCAGATGGGCTGGTCTGAGTATTTAAAAAGCTGCTGGGATTTTTCAACCATCTCTAGGATTTACAGGGAATGGTCCAAAAAAGAGAAAATATCTAGTGAGCTGTAGTTGTGTGGAGGAAAATCCCTTGTTGAGGTCAGAGGAGAATGGGCAGACTGGTTGCTGTGACATTCCGATGGTAGGGTCAGAATTTGGTGTAAAAATCATGAAAGCATGGATCCATCCTGCCTTGTATCATAGGTTCAGGCTGGTGGTGTCATGGAGTGGTGGACCCATCCTGCCTTGTATCATCGGTTCTGGCTGGTGGTGGTGGTGTCATGGTGTGGTGGATCCATCCTGCCTTGTATCAATGGTTCAGGCTGGTGGTGTCATGGAGTGGTGGACCCATCCTGCCTTGTATCATCGGTTCTGGCTGGTGGTGGTGGTGTCATGGTGTGGTGGATCCATCCTGCCTTGTATCAATGGTTCAGGCTGGTGGTGGTGTCATGATGTGGTGGAATCATCCTGCCTTGTATCATTGGTTCAGGCTGGTGGTGGTGGTGTCATGGTGTGGTGGATCCATCCTGCCTTGTATCCACGGTCCTGGCTGGTGGTGTCATAGTGTGGTGGATCCATCCTGCCTTGTATCTTCGGTTCAGGCTGGTGGTGGTGGTGTCATGGTGTGGTGGATCCATCCTGCCTTGTATCTTCGGTTCAGGCTGGTGGTGGTGGTGTCATGGTGTGGTGGATCTATCCTGCCTTGTATCCACGGTTCAGGCTGGTGGTGGTGGTGTCATGGTGTGGTGGATCCATCCTGCCTTGTATCTTCGGTTCAGGCTGGTGGTGGTGGTGTCATGGTGTGGTGGATCTATCCTGCCTTGTATCCACGGTTCAGGCTGGTGGTGGTGGTGTCATGGTGTGGTGGATCCATCCTGCCTTGTATCTTCGGTTCAGGCTGGTGGTGTCATGGTGTGGGGGAGATTTTTTTGGCACTAGCAAGGTGTACCTAATAAAGTGGCAGGTGAGTGTATTTTCTATTCTAGCCTTTTATTTTCTATTCTATTCTGTTCTATTGTTTTCTATTCTATTCCTTTGTTTTCTATTCTATTCTGTTCTATTGTTTTCTATTCTATTCCTTTGTTTTCTGTTCTATTCTGTTCTATTGTTTTCTACTCTATTCCTTTGTTTTCTATTCTGTTTTATTCTATTCTATTTTAGAAATCTGAGTTTTGGAAGATGGCTATATTCTAATAGACACAGTCTTTGAAGGAAACCAGCAATAGTCAGCAATGTGTTTACATTTTGAATTTGTTTCAGATTCGAATTCAGATCATTTCTTGTTTTGGACAAAATTTATTTTCGTTATCTCAGATATGTTTCAATTCGTAACTCGGAACTTTGGATACATCTGACTCTCAGAATAACAAATGTTTTGTCAGAATTTTGATTCGGAATGAAACAAACCGCACATGTCTAGTGCAAACGTCAGCAGAGCTTCTCGATGACATACCGATGAAATCTGTCTCATTTTATATCCTCGGCAGATCACGTGAACATCACGCTGGGTGTCACCGTTGGAGGGATCCATATCGCCGAAAGCAATTTCATTATATTTGACTGCGAGAGGACCATCGACATCCATCCGAAAACATCGTAAGATATTCACAGATTGCTTCTCATGCTGCCGGCAATGTAGGATCGGCTCTGGATCTGAATATCTCAGTGTTGTTATCTATGAAAAGTCACATTCATGAGCATGTTGTATGTCGGTGGAACTATGGAACCCAGGGAAGGCATAAGTCAGAAATCAGGACTCCGCTCTTGAAGGCTCTTCTACCGGAGTGTCCCAGAGTATCCTTGGAAGAAGATTGTTGGAGGCATGAGAACACCACAAGACTTGAATGAGTCCAGGAAAGATTTTATTTTTCACAACGTGTTTTAGGGTCTCGAAATTCCCCCTTTGTCAGGGCTAAGACATGCGATAATATACAACAATATAAATGGAGGATCTAAAACTAAAATACACAATCTCTAAGCCAGCAAATATAACTGATATTCTTTTAATTATTCTCATTCTTATATATTTGGATAATTTATTTATTTCAGGTACTTATATAGCGCCATCAATTTACGCCGCGCTTTACATACATATTGTACATTCACATCAGTCCCTAACCCTCAAGGGGTGTACAATCTAAAGTCCCTAACCCTCAAGGGGCGTACAATCTAAGGTCCCTAACCCTCAAGGGGCGTACAATCTAAGGTCCCTAACCCTCAAGGGGCGTACAATCTAAGGTCCCTAACCCTCAAGGGGCGTACAATCTAAGGTCCCTAACCCTCAAGGGGCGTACAATCTAAGGTCCCTAACCCTCAAGGGGCGTACAATCTAAGGTCCCTAACCCTCAAGGGGCGTACAATCTAAGGTCCCTAACCCTCAAGGGGCGTACAATCTAAGGTCCCTAACCCTCAAGGGGCGTACAATCTAAGGTCCCTAACCCTCAAGGGGCGTACAATCTAAGGTCCCTAACCCTCAAGGGGCGTACAATCTAAGGTCCCTAACCCTCAAGGGGCGTACAATCTAAGGTCCCTAACCCTCAAGGGGCGTACAATCTAAGGGCCCTAACCCTCAAGGGGCGTACAATCTAAGGGCCCTAACCCTCAAGGGGCATACAATCTAAGGTCCCTAACCCTCAAGGAGCGTACAATCTAAGGTCCCTAACCCTCAAGGGGCGTACAATCTAAGGGCCCTAACCCTCAAGGGGCGTACAATGTAAGGGCCCTAACCCTCAAGGGGTGTACAATCTAAGGTCCCTAACCCTCAAGGGGCGTACAGTCTAAGGTCCCTAACCCTCAAGGGGCGTACAATCTAAAGTCCCTCCCACATGGAAGAAAAATATATTTGAAATATATTTTTAAAATATTCTTCCCAAATATATTGCCATATATTTGAAATACTACAATTTTGGCTGTATTCAATATATTTAAATAAATAAATAATATATCCATATGAGTGTGTGTGTGTATTATTATTTTTTTAAATATATTGAATACGGCCAAAATTGTAGTATTTCAAATATATGTCAATATATTTGGGAAGAATATTTTTTAAAATATACTTCAAAATAAATAATATATACATGTGTGTGTGTGCATATATATATATATACTGCATGTTGAAATGCGTTTTTTAGATATGACAAAACATATGAAAAATATTTTTAAAAATATATATTTTTTATATATATTCTGCAGATTTTTTTTTTAACATATAAAGAAAGTAATTTTAACATATATTTTTACATGTATTTGTAAATACATTCCAAAAATGTAGATTAAATGTATTTTTAAAGACATACAGTATATTTGAAAATTTATTTCAAAAATATTTTTCCATATATTTTGGGATAAAAACGCATTTCAACACACAATATATATATATTGAAATATGTTTTGAAATATATTGAATACGGCCAAAATTGTAATATTACAAATATATGTCAATATATTTGGGAAGGATATTTTTATAATATATTTTTCTTCCATGTGGGCTAACTTACATTCAAATAATGGGGCCAATTTAGACAGAATCTTATTCACCTACCAGCATATCTTTGGAGTGTGGGAGGAAACTGGAGTTCCCAAATGAAACCCAGACAGGCACAGGGAGAACATGCAAACTTCAGGCAGGTGGTTCCGTGGCTGGGATCCGAACCAACAACCCGAGTACTGCTAACCGGAAGGGCTAACCATTTAGCCGCTGTGCTGCCCTGCTTGTGTATTTGTGTTTTTGAGATCTTCGGTTTATATTATGTTTATGTTCTCTTGTTTCATAGCCCTGATG